TAGCCTAACACTTTTTTTAATCACTGGCAAGTAAACTTCTAAGAAACAGATACAGTCTTTTTAATTAATGCCCTGTTTTGGCATCTTTACATCTCAGTTTATGACAGAGGAATAACCTGTCCACATTTGGGATGCAGCCAGTTTCAATTATTTTGGCCATCTAAGTTGGAAAGTTTCTTTGGCTTGAAGTTTGTCAGAAGCAGAATCCAGAACATTCCACAAAGTCTCATGATCATTTCTCCAATTATATTCTGATTTGCATGTCACTGTTTAGGTGAAGTTTTGGGGTTTTTTTTAAACTTCTGATTTGCATCAAAAAGTTTGCTATTGTTTCCTTACACTTTAACACTCTAAAGCAGCTATACATTACTAGCCAGCCATGTCTGATGGAAGAAATTACATTTTGATCAAGATGGTTTTGGGGGTTTTTTTATGGATAACTTGGCACATATGCCAGCTTGTAGTGATGTTAAACAGAGAAAAGATTTTTCCAGGTATAAGGGATTTATGCAGTTACTTTCAGTAGAAGAGAATCTGCATGAATTGAGTCAAAAGTTGAGTGAGATCTTGCCAGAAGGAACCCTAAGCCACCGAATGCCACTTACACCAATACACCTCCACCCACGTTTCCAGTTACAAATTGGAGTGTGTTGTTCACGATTCCTGAAAGCCTTCCTGTCGCCAACAGCTGACAGAAGCTTTAACCCAGGTAACCAAGGTTTCTTCTTCCGGGGCTTTCGGACCAGGCCTTCATCAATCCCTGGGCAAAGTGTGTCATTTACTATAGAAACTAGGATTTCCCTTTACATTTGTAATGGTCCCAGCCCCACAGTTAAAAAGTCTACCCTCTTAAATCCAAGAATTTTTTTAATTCTGAGATAATTAAATTTAACTTTTATCATTCCAGATAACTGTGTTTTGAGGAGATTTTCAGTGAAACAGCAAGGTTAATACTTTTTGACAGAGCTTCACGCTAGTATTGATTTTCAAGGCCAGGAAAAAACAGGATGACTTAATAAAACATCACTCTTGAGGATGCAGTTCTCCAGTAATAAAAATACTGAAGGAGCAGAAATGAGCACCAGTGACGTGTTGATTTCCCAACTAATGGCTAGCATTTACAAGGGTGGGAATGTAAGTTCTAGTAGCGTTCCTCCTTTGTTAGCAGCCACAGTAAACTCTGACAGAGAGACGTTTTCTAGTAGAAGATATGCGGAAACTGTACACAGCTGGGAGAGTTTCTCAGGACAAAGATGCTCATTTTCTTGTAAAAATCTCTTTACATGGCTGGGACAGTTAATGACATAGAGTTTTCTCCCCGTAGGGTTTTTGTTTTTTTTTTTTTTTTTGAGAAGCATAGGGGTGTGTGGGGAGGAAGTCTTTCATTAGACATTTAAAGATGCATCTAAGAAAAGATTAATTCGCTGACTGAAGAAACACTTGAGTAGTGGGCCAGACATCTACAAAGTCCTGAGCCATTGATTTGGTAACCAAGTAAATTACTTTTCCTGTCTAATTGTAGCAGTTCAATGAAGCCACGCTAATTCAAAGACCAAAGTCCTTGACCAAGTGGAAAGTCTCCCATTGACTTTAAAGTCAATGAGTCAAGTCCCTACTATCCAGTGACCTCCGAATATTGCCAAGCACAGAGATTCCCAGATGCCCCCAAGTGCTGTTTGCTATTTTAATGTAGTCATTTAACACTAACACTAGTTGGGCTTAAAATCTTGAGTTGTGTTTCCATTTTTCTTCTGAAGTTGTTTTGTTTTGTGCTTTGGGTTGGTTTTTTTCTGTAAGCTTGGAAAATTCCCCATGCAACCTCATATCAAATTCTAGTCATAGCTGTTAACTTTACATGCTTTTTGCAATCTTACGCTTTCCTGGTGCAAAGACTAGAAAGCAAGAAAAGTTCCAAGAACATACATTAACTGCATGTATCAAAACACAATCTTTAACAAAATAAATACTATTTTCACTATGAACTTAAAAACCTGAACGCAAAACCTTCTAATTTTGACATCATTGATTAGCCTCTAGTCAGTCCAAATACATATATATTTCTACCAGAACTTATGAGTTTTACATAATTTTCTCATTGCATTAGCTAAAAACAATTCTCAGAAACAGCAACTTTGTTAGTGCTTCTCTTAGCTGGTATGTCTAATTAATATTAACCTGTAATATATTTATAGCAAAATCAAGACAAAGCAGGGAGCTGTCACACATACTTTAATGTTATCTTTAAATATCTTAATTAATACTTTAATTCATTGGTACTAATAACTTACTATTATAATAGCAACTTTTGCATTACATTGGCATTAACTAATGTAGAATTGGTATTTCTGTACCATATTCAGCACATACAGCAATGGGACTAGAAGTCTCCCATGTTTTCCTTCCCTTTCAGCCCCTGCAGAACCATTCTACAAACTATGGCTCATACAGATTTATGCACACAACCACTGCAATAAATATTCTTCTTGCCAGCCTCCTATTTTGAGGCAGGAAAGTTGGGGTTTTTTTTATTCCAACAGTTACATAGCTTTTCCAGGGAGGAACTTTGGCGAACAATGTTCGATCCGGTCATTTCACATTTGAGACCTCACTCAAGTCAAATACCTATCCTGAAGTCTAGATGTTCCAAGAACACTTCAGTGAGATAAAAACCACTTAGCATTCATGATCTTGTATTTCAAGCCTCTTTCTAATAGGGCTGTTCGTGAGTAACAAGCATATGGTCATGCTTCTTAGTTTGTGGGGCATTTGTCTGGGTTGTTTTCTTTGTGTTAGAAAAGAAAAGCCACAAATCCAGGCTGTTAACAGCCACACTGAATGATAGAAGCCTTAAAAAAAAAAAGTTAACAAAGTTGCATTTGTTACATCTATTTAAACTGCCCTATCACAAATGCCAAATACCTGTATACAATTTATTATACCAAATGGACTTCTACCTTCGTCTTAGTTAATAGCCTTGCATTATTCTTGTTTAAACATTTACCAATGAAACCTGTGTACTTTACTGGACACTGAATTATGATCCTTTCCAGAAATTATCCTTTTAAAACAAAAGATATAATTGAAGCTTAAGAGGAAAATCATGTAATGGAAATGTCCTTCAATTCCCTTTTAATTAAGAGCACCCTGTGTAAATACAAGCTGAGCTACTCATTTCCTCAAGACAATGCCTCTCAAAGTGTAAGATGTTACTCCCAGAAAACCTGTGTTTTGTTAAAGTGTTCTGCCTTGTGCCATGTGAGACCACTTCTATCCTATTGTCTTCCCAATAGTTCATAGGACAGCTGGCCTTTTTTTGTCTTTTTTTAAACTGATGGTTTTGAGGTTAACATTTTGGACCTCATGCTTTGCACATGCAGACCTCTACATCCACACCAAGTCCAGAAGTGTGGTTATAATAGGCTACAGCTGCCATTTGCAGTATCAGGTTGAAAGGGGTGTAAGACAGGACACAAACTTCCAAATAAACTCAGTTCAAACCTACTGAGCACATCAAGAGAAGAACTGCTTTACACAGGTATTGCTGTCTTGGGCCAAGAACGCACTTTGGGTCTTTTGCATTTTTAACCTTAATCGCACAAAAAAAAAAAAAACCCAAACAAAAAAACCCCCAACCAAACAAAAAACCAAAAACCAACCAACCAACCAAAAAAAACCCCACCAACTCTCAAGTCCAACAGCTCTTTTGTTTGGCATAGCCATAGCATTAACCTGTAGAAATAAGGCATTCTCATTTTAGCTGTAGCTGGCAAATGTTTATGGACCTTTGATATGCATGCTCACGTTAGCAGTCCTGTAGGTTTGAGGCAGCAAAGTTAGGTACCTATGTGAGCATATATACAAGCAAGTTCTTTTCTTAGTTGGATTGAAGGAATTGCTATTTACTCAGAGTTCTAAATTAATCTAAATTCATACCAGTCACTGAAAACATTTCTAGAGATATGCAACAATTCTTTGAGTTTAATAAATTTTTCAATGTGTTGAACTTTTACTTTCAAATATATTTTTAGATAGTCAATTACTAGAAAACCTACATTTTAGAACCTAATTCAATTTAGTCGATATTCTGCACTGCATGATGCAGTACACCTCTAAGGACAGTACCCATCAACTGTACATCATTCAGCTTGCAGTACTATACTTACAACTGGATTCATTTGTTCTTATCATTTAGTCTTTCACACTAACAATATTTCTCAATGAGTTTTGTAGACTGCTACCCAAACTGCATTTTGGTCAACTAAATGGTTTATTTTTCCTTTGTAAGTAGTTAGGTTACTGCTAATTTTTAGGTTTTGGGCTGATAATTGAGTTTTGCTTTGCAGTGTATTGAAAAAGGAACTAGTGAGGTTCTTCTGAAGAAACTAACACACCACCTGTCCTAAATGACTAAGCTTCACATTTTTAGGAAAACAAATAGAATATTTGCAAAACACAGCAGTAGTTTTTATTACACCAGAGAATGCATTCCTTGTGAAGACTGGAAAAATCGCAACACATCACCACACTCCTACCACCTCAGAGCACGTTTCTCTCTCACAGTGTCAGCAGTAAGGGATGAGCATGGCAGCCAAAATTCCAATCAAGTTCCTGCATGTGCTGTTCCCTAATAGCTGTCCCCAACCTGCTCCTTTTTTCAGGCTCTACAGGTTGCCCTTTAGGGATATCTATTTTTTCCATTGACTAGACAAAGTGGCTTAGAGTGGAATCCAGGCTGTTTGCTTCTGGCCCTTGAAGCTCAGTTTTATCAGAGGCAACAGAAGTAAGGGAATATGGCATATGTTCAAGCTCAGAAGCTGAAAAGGAAACAGTTTAACACAGTGAATAAACCTTACAAAACTCTACAAATACAGCATTTCACACAATGATGTAATGAGAAAGTAAACATGGCTCTTGCATAAAGACCACAGACTGGATAGCATGGTTTTAGACTTTTTAATAGGACATATAAAAAAGTATCAGTCATTCAGCAGTAAAAAAAAAATTGAATTCTTAGGCATTATGAGCAAAACATCACTAGTATCTATTATTAGCAAGTGTATGTCAGGTCATTATCATTTGAATAATGAAACATTACTTCTCTTGCATGAAATGGCACTTTCAGATACACATCTAATGCAATCTCCTCAGTGACAAGTGTTCTGGACAAAATACAATCCTGTAAAATTCTTAAGTATAACTTAATCAAGATGTTGCTATACAGCACCTCTGCAAGATGCATACAGTATGCAAAACACATTTAGACATAAGTTCTAAGTTTCTCAATATAAGGAGAAACAAAAATTTAGTCCATCTTTCTCTTTTTTCCTTTAACAGGAGTTTTGGAGGTATGTTCATTTTCAGCATTTGGTTCCCAGAGTGCATTTCTTACAAATCTAGAAGCAGCTCCTTTATCGAGTTTGGATGCCTTTTTCTTGTCTGCTATTTCTTTGACCCTGTTCATGTATGTTCTTATTCTTTCCTGGGGGGAAAAAGAGAGTATATTTCACACCATTTTCCCAAGATTGCTGCTAAAATAAAATCAATGAGTAGAAGCCCTCCACACTGTACATTTCTATAACTATAATACCCAGAAAAATAGCATCATTTAAATATATATACACCAGGCTCTTTGCAAACTGGGGGCTTCCCCTTTAGCAGATTTTCCATCGCAGGTACCAAAAACACTTGCATGACATTGCATGACATTGCATGACATCAACCGTCATAGGAACATGAAGTCCTACAGAGATGAAGACTCTGCATCTAATTTACAGTGAGACAAGAATTTTCTCGCAAGCAAAGTTAGAAAACAAAATACTGAACTCAATTTGGAGTTTGGCCTACATAAAGATGGCAATATAATATTTAGATATTTGACATATTTATAGATAAATTATACTGACTACTGTCTACAAAAAGAAAAAAGAAAAAAAAGAAGGAAAAAAAAGAGAAAAAAGAAAATTCAGCATGTCCAAGCAAAGCCAAAAAGCATCTTACACAAAATCAAGGATGTTACAAGTATTACACATATGATTACAGAGAAGTCATGAGGTTAAGATCCTGAAGTGGTCAAGGGGGCTTATCAGTGAACCTATTTAAGAGAGTCTGATGAATTTCCAGCTGTACCAGAAGTTCCTTTTATGGCCATAAATAACAAAAAAAAGCCTGTTTCTACTGCCGTTCCATAAAGCAAGGGGATACTTTCTTGCCATCTTAGCCTATCATAGTCATTTGGTGTCTACAGAGATTTTTTTTGAACAAAGCATGGCTTGGATTCAGCTGCACCTAAGTATACCCTCGCTATGAGATATAAATGAGATATAACAATCTCATTTATGTGCCTACTCATTCTCATCTACTTCTGCAATCAATAAAGAAAATTACTTTAGGAGGGTAACTAAACCCTTCTAAGATAGGAATCACCCTCTGTTAAGTGCCTGCTTCTCTACGCTGAGTAGCGCAGGTACTTACAGTAATTCTGTACAATACGTAAGTTTGGTTGATAGATTTCACGTCTACATATTTAGCCTAATATGGCCTTTAACTCTAGGGCCCTTAGGTGTTACTATAATACAAACAACAGTAACATATATATACACATAGATATATAGTGCTGTACCTAATACCCGAATGATAAATGTGGATTAACAGAACATTTATGGATACTGCTAACTAAATAAATGTTGGTATTGTGTAATCGACACATTTCTCACACAGCCATTGACAGCTTTTGGAATCTAGAATAAAATTTACAAGACCACTACAGGACTGATTTTCAATTCTTCAGTGACCATTATAAGAAACTGATGTTCTCTTTCCGTATCAAAAACATAGCTTTAATGAGGACAGCTTTACAGGGTCTGAAGTCATGATAGACTGTAGTATTTCTTTGGTGACTGAGATGGCTAATGAGAACAGATGGCAAACCTACATGTATCAACATGGGAAAAAGGAGCTGACAAATGTCAATGTGACAAAAGAAATGAACTCTGATAGCTTCAATGTGAGTTTTATTAATGCAGTTTGAATCCCCATGTATTCCCTGTATGTACACATGGAGAACAATTCTAAAAACAAAACAATCATGACAGAAAGTCTTTTTCTTATTCATGTGGAAAGAGAATAAAAAATCACAATGCTCTTGGAAGGAAGGAGGGAATGTGTATTCATTCACCTTGATATTTGGAATAGAGAACTGGATAAGAATCTAGCCTACGATAATTTACCCGTTTTTCAGAGTTAAAACGACTGGCAATTGTGAAGTAAAATACCAGCATAAAATATCCACAGCAGAAGAGATAAAATTTATTTTTTAGTATCGCTAAATTAACACAATATTCAGACACTATATAATATAGGAGGAACAAGAAACTGACTGAAAGCTCATGAAATATTAACTGATCCATTTTTTAATACGATACAGTCTAGACTACTGAAAACCCCACAAAATTAAAAATAGAAATATTCTTGTTATTCGGGCTAGCTTTCCACATTTTTCAATCCTATCTTCCGTTCTGCTGGTTGTATAAGGATTACATTTAAGCTAAGTATTTTACAATTGCCCAGATTTAATATTTTCATTTATACAGGAATTAAAATGGGTAGCTACAAGTTTTGATTTCTATTTTTTCTTCAGGCTAAATGATTTGATTTTTTAAGTCAGCAGAATTTTCAAGATAGCCGGCCTTCTATACTGTAGTCATGCATCTAAATGGAATATAAAGACAAACCTAAAAGATTTATTATAGGTTGTAAATATGTCACTAATGCAGAATTACTGGACAATACACATACAACTGGTGCCAAAAAAGCTTTTAGCTTTGTTGCTGAACTGGATTCTTTACTGCTGAGAAAATGAATTAATGGAGGACTTGGAAGGGGGAGGGGGGCTCTTTCCCGTCTTCGCTACTAAATCAACCACACTATACTTTTAGAGTCATACAAAAGTAAGAAAAGGCAGCCTTAGAGATTAACATGATTCCAAGTATTTATAAGAAAAAAATTCCATACTGGAAGTTATAAATTATTGTCAGACATGTAACATTTTTCCATTTAACAGATACAAGTGAAAAGCTGCTCTGTTCAGAATCCAATTCTCAAACAAAGGTGGAGAAAAGAAAAGATAAGATGACACCATTCATCTTCTTTTCTAATTTCAGCAGACTCTACAACTTTGCTTTAAACAGTATTGTTTGGAACTAAAAATATGACTTTCTTAATTTAGAGAGCCCAGCAGGGCATATGAACAGTTATATAACACCATGTAGCATATGTGTGCTATTATGGCAACATACTGATTTTAAACATAGATGTAAACATATTTTTTTTTTACTTCTGTATGAGTTAACTGTTCTGGGCAAGTAAGATACTGCAGTGCATGCAGTGCAAGAATCTTACCAGTTCTTGTTTCACTGGATGTTCCTTTGGATTGATTCCCTGAGTAGCCAAGTATACTACAAGAAAAAAAACATTTTTTTTTTTAAACTGAAGGCTGTGATGACTGAGGACCCAGTCAATCAGTCACATAGGAAAACTGTAGTTTCTACATAAAACCATTAATAATAATTGGAGTTAACTGTATTGTTACGTATCTGACAAACTATTATCATCAAATATTGCAGCTTAAAAAAACCCACCCAAAACTAACATGGTTAAACTTTCTGTCCTGAAAAGGACAGAAAAGGTTGTCACAAAAGAACAGAACGAAACATCCTCATGCACATACAAAGTCAGCTTTTGTAAATATCAATTTGGAGTTTCAACATCATTTATCCTACGGATGGCAATAATTTGGGTCCTCAGGATAATTAGAAGTTTCTAATTATTTGGCTATGAAATATGATTATTTAATGTTTGTAGCTGTCTAGAAGGTGTTCAAATGGCAATCACGAATACTACTTCTTCCTCCTACCACGTACTTACCCCAGAACATTGAATTTAACGTGTACACCGAAACCAAATCCAGCTTTGCTTGCTCAAGAGGCTCTAACTAGAATGAAAAAAACCACCAGGTTTGCACATTTTAAAGCAAGATCTGCACAGATTTTAGTAAAATGCACATTTTATAATTGTGAATGTATTCATAAAAAAAAATACACACTGACTGAGCACATTTTTGCACTGCAAGTTCCCTGGGACCATGTCTATGCCTATTTCCATGCCAGCACAGAACCATTCTCCCCTCTGCAAGGATTCATGTCATTTTCCCAGTCCGATGTTAAAAGCCACTGGCTCATACAGCCAAAAGCACAAAAATCTCTTGACACGTAGCTCTTAGACTACTGTTCCCATAGTCAGAAATAAGTCCCTATTTTTCCACAGAAACTTAATTCAAAATAGTTGTTGCTATCAATGGAAGAAAAAAAATATCTTATGATTACAGAAGCTCAAATGTGAATATAGTATGCTACAGACAATCAATGAACATTAACAGTACACATGGTAGACTGTGTTCAACGCATGCTGTAATACTTAGGGCTGTAAAGCAAAGGAAGAATAAAGGTAATGAGGGTTTTTTTCCTCCACTGTCAAAGTCAATTTATTATTTGAGTCCTATAGGATTTCCAGAAGCTCTGATAACATCATTGTACAGCTCACTAGTTCTAACATGGATACTGTCAAAAGATCAGTGTTGTCAAGACTGTTTTCTTCATAATTTATTTGTGTTAGAAATCCTCAGAGTATAAAGAAGTTCCCTCATGTGCTGGCTTTTTCTTGCCCTGAAGAAAGAAATTACATGTTAGGCTTTAAATGTTAAAAGATAAAGAGGCTTGTATGAAGTCTTCAGGCAGTACCTTGCTCTGTCTTTATGCCCTGAAAAAACCCACCATTTTATAGACTTGTGCTTACAACATAGCTAGAGGAGACAGCTCAGTTTTTCAAGCACTAGGTTCTGCAAGTCTAGACTTCTAGAATCAGATCAGTTCTTACTGCTGTCAATTCACCTTCACATCCTTCTGGGTATACCAAGTTCTATTAAGTTTGTTATGAAAAAGGTCTCAGACAAAAACGTGAATGACCTCTCTGTTACGAGAGAGCAGTCAGTGTGCACTTGAAGGAAGGTCAGAAATAAGCTAGAATGGCCTCTACCTAAATGACTCACCGGTAGTATCACTACTTTTCAGCTTGGAAGAGCATATATTTCATCATTTTGTTTGCAAGGCCATCTGGATATCTCAGAAATTAAGAACTTCAAATATTAGGTATCAGGGGTAGGAAGTGTCATATTTGTTATTTCACTGTGCAGTGGCTAGCCTACCAGACCCTTTTATTTCAGTTCAGGTTCCCAGGTATTCTTCTATTAATAACAAAAAGTTTGTCAAAAGGAAGAGTTTTTTACCTTTTGGAGAAGGTCACTCCTGGAAACTGACATCATTGTCTTCAGCATCTCATCTACAGAACCAAGAGATTTTTCAAATGCTGCAAGATAATCATGAATTTCAGTGGGGTATTCTTCTGCATTAACACCTTCTGACAATTCCATCTGCAAAGAGGAAACAAAACTAATAATCCTTTTCATTAAGTCCCTACAGAGTCAAAAACCTATTTTACAATACAAGGCATTAGCATTCATTCATTAAACATCAGGAGAAACACCTACTTCTGAAGACTTCTAGCAGGTAATGTCAATAGCGACACAGTTAAAGGCCCTATAATTTGAGGGTATCTCCTAACTGCTGTGCAAAATGGCATGAAGGAGCGTTACAGATGACATGACTGTAGTACCTATTCTTTAACAGTCCCAAAGCAGTATTTAGCTTTTATGGTCTATGATAGAAAGTAATTATTTGCTTGTTTAAAAGAAGTGCTCTATAAATCACAGTATATAAACAGCTATACAAAGCAAGAGGCAGGACACTAAAAACACCAAAAAAACTACCCACAAAAAAACAAACATGGTGATATGGCTTCGGCCTGTCTTAGCAACAGACATTACTTCAGCTTTAAAGCGGTTATGCAGCACCAGTTATGTCAGGGTCAGTTACATCTTCCAATGCTAAATTTAGGAGTTGGTCCAAGAAATTCTTCTTGTGAACCCTGTATCCAGTTTTCTGAATTCTCTATGGGGTATTATAATCTGCAATATAACTCTACCCGTAACAAAGCTGAGCTGATTTGCGGATTTCAGAATACTCTGGAAATCTTGTAGACGCATCTATATGCGCAGCAACCGTGAGATAAGCAAAGATGTGAAAAATCCCAAAGCGCTCCTTTTTTGATCCCAGCATTCATGGTAACATGGCATGGCTACTGCCAAGCCATCTGGCTGCTGGCTTACAATCGGTATCTTTAAATTCCTCTCAACCCATAAATCATATTCTCTTGGGGAGTTAATGTTACTTAAAGCTATGTTACTTTCTACAACTTCTACCGATTGAGCAACAATTTTTTGAACATTATAAGGAAAGAAGAGGAAGAAATACATCATTTTCCTGCCCATTTGGTGAGCTTCATCAAGAACAGTGGGAGCACCTGGATCACTGCAGTCCTTCCTACTTGGAAGCAGTGTGATAATCCCACTACCCAGCTGCTGAGTGCAGAGGGTGGGAACATAAGTTGGAGAAACTGTGCTTTGAAAATTTCAACTATGAACATTAAACCACACAGTGCAAACAGCAAGGAAACAGCAAACAGCTGTCACATCACTGGAGTTTGTTTTAGATAAAGATTTGATCTTTCCCTTTTTCTTCCAAGAGCATGGTATGTGTGAGCAAGGTTTCTTTTTCTTTATATTGTCTCCTGGAAGTCAAACATGAGGAAGATTGGGAGTTAAAACAGTGTGGAGCTATTCAAGCTTGTCTGCAACTCCAGTTTTTAACCACACCAGCGTGATTCCAGAAATATGATCCGCCAGTTAACAAGCCCAGTTTCACTGATGTGGTTCACATAGTTTAGAATTATAATCCTACTCAGCTGCATGACTTTTCATCCTGGTCAGAGCTGTTTTTCAGATTGAGTACAGAATTTCAATGCTAACCATGATATGTTGAAGGTCCCCTCCCTACCCCAGCATGTAACTCACACGTGTAAATACTGTTTCAGTCAGCTAGAGCAGACCCAAGCAAGAAAGCTGAGCTGGACCTACAAGATGCTGCCCACAGAAAGGCAAAACACTAATACAATTATTCCTGCCATTTACAGTAGTATTGTTTGTGTTTTGTTCTGTGCTGGCTACCTGCATTATAATCACCCTTGTTAGGTTGATTAAAAGAATCCAGAAACAATGTTTGTTAACTTTGTCATATAATACAGCAAAAAAACCACTCAAAGCTCCAGAAGAAACTAGATTTTCCCAGCTGTTAATACAGTTAAGCCTGGTTAGGAGGTGTCTGTCATTACACATTTACACATACAGGGAGAGAGGTGTAATCCAATCCAACCATTATCTACAGAGCTAACCATCACTGCAATACTTTATCTACTATGGTCTTAATTTGATGGACATGCATGAACATAGTGATAAATTCCAATTTTTCTCTCTCCCTTTATCAGTGCATCCAGCACCAGCAACTGCAGGGGAAAAAAAACCCGCCGCCACCAAACTCCTGTAACAGGACGTGTTATCAATCAAAACTAACTTGAGCTATTTTACCGCAGTTGCAAGGATAAACAGTCACTAGAGCATATACGATATTCTTTCCAATATCCCAAGCTAGACCTAAAGAGTGAGACAGAGAAAGAATAGGAAGATTGAAGGAAAGGTAACAGATATGGTCCAAAATATATTTTTCTCCAATTCCTGCCTCATGAGCCAGAAAGAATAAAGTTTGCCCTCGTATCATGAAGTATTTATTTGACACTGTCAATTAGCAATGAAACGGGGAAAAAAACGGGAAAAAATCAGCCTTCAATGGAACAAGGCTGCACATTAGCCCATGTACAGTACCCTTCATTGATAAATCAGCTTCTTCTGCCCGGGGTGGGGAAAGAATTTGTTGAACTTGTGTTTTTTGTTAATCTCAACAGGAACTAGCAAGTTCCTACTCCTGCTGCGCAGGGACCTCTCTTCATTGGACTCTTGTTGCAGCATTACTAATCTCTAAGCAGGGTATGTTACAGTGTTGGCACATGCCAACAGTACAGCAGCAGTCAACAGCCTAAAATAGTTTTGATAACATTAAATCAACAAGAACAAACTTACACTACATTAGAAAAACACGTACACCCGGAAACCCCACAAAATCGTTTCTGCCAAAATCAACACACAGACTGCACAGTCACACCTGCAGAATGACAAAGCCAAGGATGGAAGAAACTTAAGAATACATCAGCGACACTGTAAACATACCTAAAGGTTACACTGCCCTCAATAGTTACGTTTCAGTTACTAAACTACAAGCAAGATTTTCCTTGAGTTTTACAAGTGTTTCTCTATGTATTTTGAACAAGTAGAAATTTAATTTGGATCCTGAAGTTGATGTTTACTACACAGGTTTTCTCTGTTGGATTTGCTGACTTTCAACCAAATTTTATTTGGCACAGAGATTCCACTTAAAAAAAATTATGGACAGTACGAGCCTTCATATAAGAGAAATTACGAAAATACTTGCTGGGTAAGCACGAAAATAACGGGGAAGTCTAAGAGAAGTAAGAATAAGGCAGCATTTTCATTATCAAGTAATAATACTTATGATGCAGAACACATAACTGTGGTTGTGTGCATGATAATAAGACTTTATAAGATCTTTAAGAATGCAAAGGAAAGTTCACAACCCATAAACATAAAATAGAAGAGAAATGGCCTACTTTGACTAAGGACACTGAGGCAAACAAATAGTGATGAAAAATGCGGCATGACTTCATAATATCAATTTACCAGAAGCAACTTTCCCTTTTAACCCTGAGCTCAAAAACTGCCATGTAGTTTTTGGGAGAACAGCATAAAAGAAAAATATATTTGAGGAAGAAAAGCACTTTAAATCCCAAAAGTAAACCATTTTCATGAGAAAACGTATTCATTGCATTTAAGTGTGATCAAAAATTGTGTTACAAAATGAGTTTCCACAGGTGGGAAATTTCTGAATATTCTGAAGTTTCTGAATAAATTATCATTTATTCAGAGGCATGACTACATTTATAAGCTTCTACTTAGAAAACAAGGAACACCTCTCTCCAGTCAACGCAGTATAAATCAGAGCAGGTAATACACTCAACCTGCAAAAGGGAAAGGAGGAAAATATCAGACATTAGGAACCACAGAAAAGACACAAATATGAAAAGGAGAAAGCAAGAGAAAATGTCATCTTCTGCAGACTCTATAAAAAAAGACTAAACGGCTGTCAATCAAAAGCAGCTTTCCATAGTGCTAATATGACTATTGATCTAAGATTCAACTGAGTTAAATGCTGTATTAAGGAAGTTTAAATAAAAACAAACAAAATACAGATGATGGTGCACAACAGAACTAGCAAAATCATCCATCTTCACATTTATCTTTCAGGAGAATGAAGAACACTGCAGACACCTTTCAAGAAAAGCACACCCATGACTAACATACAAAGGTAGGAAAAGAAAAAGGGGAAACCAGACGATTTGCAGGTGGCTTTTATGAATAATCTTTGAATATATCTGGTGTTTTAACCCAAGGCTTAGAAAGTAATTGCCAGCTGGCTTAAAAAACAAAACCAAACCTCCCTTCCTGCCCACCCCCACAGCAAAACTCTATCTGTCATACTAAAAGATATAAACTCTAATTAAGCCCTGGGTACCTCTATGAGAGATTTTGCTGAAGATGCATGTTGAATGTAATGGAAGCCACAAGCATACAGCAACGTGGCAATAGGAAACTCCAAAAGAATTAAAAAACGCTCAGTGTTAGTGTCATGCATAAGGTTTTCAACTGGAATTAAAACTGCCAAATTGAGGAATAAAATGGTGTATTTGAAATATTTTGTAACACGCAAACAGAAGACACAAAACTAATTTAGCATCCTTCATTCTGCTTAATATTCCAACTCCCTTCACACTTCATGTTAATTCTTACCTATTTCTTAAGCACTAGAAGGCCTTGTCTTCATACTGAGCTCAGATCTTTTATTTTTTCAGATTATTCATCTAACAAAATTCAGGTTAGACTTCTGTTGCATGGATATTTGCAAGTTACATAAAGAAAACCAAAACAAACTCAAAACCTTTTGGTCAGGGCATAGAAAAACATTTCCAAATGCCAAACAAATGCATTAGCAGTATCAGTATGACAAATCATCTCTCTTGGCTCCTAAAAACTGACACTGTCTTCCCTCTCATGAGTTCTGATTCACAACCCACAATGAATGTAGCTGATATGCAAGTGCAGCAGAGATGTCCCTTCTGCTCTAATACTGCAGTTCACTGCTGTGGCTGTAGGACAACAGAGGAACAAGGAACAAGCATCTTAAATTTAAAGCTACCAGAGATCATGACTAAGTTCTTTGATCACAAACCTCTTTTGGGCAGAGAAATCCACTTTATTCCATGTTTGCAAAGCTCTAATAGGCTCTAATC